ATAAGATTTCGATAGACCTGTCCCCAGGTAACCAATTCTTCAGGTTGGGAAAGTAGGGTATATAAAAGTTGAGCAAGCCAAGGTTGGTTAAGTTCATTGTACCAGTATATCACCTGACGCAGCTACTGTGTTAGCGAAACATGTTGTGTGTTTGAGAATTTTGTAAAAATCTTATTGTTTGTGAAGTTTTTACATTTGCCATGAATTTCCATCAAGTAACGGCTCAGCCAATTCAAAAAATAAAAATAGGACTTTGAAGGACTAAAAACCATATTATGTTATTGGACAGCAATTATAAGTTCGGGAACAATGTATATACATTTACGTAATACAAGTTCTTGATAATAACCAACAAGAAGTTTGCCCAAAATGAATTCTTCCATCGTTGTCAACCCGGCCTGTGACATGTGGATTCTTTTTGCTAGTTCCGACAGGTGGGATGTGAGAAACCCCATTTTCATAAAACATTTTTTCCACCTATTTCAATGAATAATTTGGTTGTGGTATTCTATTTTCATAATTGTCTGTTTGTTTGCATGAAAACAAACTCAAAGATTGGAAATATACCTACCTATATCGATTTTTTAATAAAAGAACCATACAACTGAGTTATTTTACTTCTGACTCGACTTTGAGAATTATATTTATTCATTCAACATTCAATTCCACTTTGAGCTTCTTGGTTTTTTGTAGTTGAAATGACACCAGTGGAACAATTAATCACTACTATTTCTCAGCGAGATGAGATTTTGAGTTTTGAAGTGTTTCTTTCCTACTTTTCCAGATGGCGTCACACCCATGTTACCTATGGGAGACGCGTCTGGGGGATCTTAGGACCGCTAGCTTGAAACTCTTCGTCACTGATGAGGGCCTGAAGCTCGAAAACGGTCTGTAGGTGTCGAGAGTTAACTCGCTAAATCGCGAGATCAATCTGCTTCAAGATATCAGTATTCATTTATATGAATCGATGCATAGATCTAGCATAGATTAGTCAATCTATGGATCTAGGAAGGATGTGTTTTAATATTTCACGTTCAATAAGCAAGGAAAGTAGTTGTTTTTGCTTTCGTCATCTACCATTGTCGTTCATTTAATGAACACTTGTAGATATGACTTAGAGTTTGATATAGATGCAATAGATTCAATACAATACAATATCATGATCATCATTATCATCATCATCATCATGATTTTTCAATGTGTCTGATTTGTACGAAATTGAGGCATTCAACAGTTGAACATCACATAATGATCTATGATTGGCATCCATTGAAAAAGAAAACAAATGACCAATATTGGAACCAGGACATTCTGTAGAATCTATATTTTCAATATAATGGAGTGATTCAAAATTCGATCAGAATAGGCAAAAATGGTAAACTTTTACTGCCTGGGCAGAAAAAGTTTGTTGCTATGCAACGTTCCAAGAAATTCTAATGAAATTAGTAATCAAAATTGACACTGACATTTGGTGAACACAAAATGATGTAGTTTTCAATAAAAAAATTACACAAAATTGGTTTTATATTATTTAGAGGAAAACTTCTATGTTTCACGCGGCAACAAATGAAGATTGACTGCCTTGCCTGAATTCCTAGACTCGCTACGCTCGGCTATGAACTTCCAGCCGCGACAGTTAATCTACTACTTTTCTGTCTAGTAAAACAAATAACTATTTCTTTATATGAACATGTGTCCTGAAGTGCACCTGAAGTGTACAATAGAAGTAAGGACCCTCCTTCAACCCCTCCAAAATTGGGTACCTATATTTAATTTTTGAAGAGAGAATGAAATGAAGTGTCTCAAAGGACATTAGGAGCCTGCCAATTTTCAGAAAATTTGATCCGTTATTTCAGTCAGAATTTCAGAATATGTTTTTTATTTACCTAACTTACAGTGACTGTAGCTTGAAGGGGGTGAATTTCAGGACACATGTAAATATCAGGTGAACTCATTATTTTTATCCCAACAATATGTTCTAGATATATTTACATCGAATTTCGAATCACCCTCTATAGATTTCTTTCTAATGTGTACAAGAACATCTCATAAAAAACTATGAATTTTATACTGAGCTCAACAATGTTGATGTAGCGGCAGCAGTGTTTTGTGATTTGTCCAAAGCTTTCGACTACGTAATTTTTTTTTTATCGAATGGAGCGCACGAAAGGGAATCCCTATAATGCTCAAAGAACATCGTGCGCTCCTAGGGAGGATAGGGACCGGAGGTAGGTATTGGAATTTTTTTTGAATTTTTGGAGATTATATGTTGTTGGGAATACTTCCACAGGCAATGAATTCCAGAGCCTAGCCGTTCTATGGATGAAGGAGTCTTGATAAAGTGCTGTTCGACATCTTTCGAGGTTGACAACGAAAGGATGTGCTGACTGGGCTTGTCTAGTTCGTCTGATTGGTATTGCTAGTGAAGGGATGATTGCAGAGATTTCCGAAGAACATTTCCCGTGGAAGTATCGATAGGAAAGTGAAAGGTTGCCGACCTTTCTACGGTGTTCCAATGATGTCAAAGAGTGAGTAAGTGTGGCGTCACCCACCAGGCGAATGGCTCTTCTCTGGATAGAATCTAAGAGCATCAGCGTATGTTTTGGTAAATCATGAAATACTGCTACAGAAGTTTTGGTGTTATGGTTTCAGAGGTATAACAATGAATTGGGTAAGATCTTACTTATCAAATCGCAGTTAGATAGTAGAAACCTTGTCGGAATCATCCAGATATAAAATGTGGAGTGCCACAGGGATCAGTGCTGGGTCCAGTTCTGTTCTTGTTGTATATCAATGATTCGTCGACTATCGACGTATCTGGAAAGTTTACACTATTCGCTGATGACAACACAGTATTTTAGCGTGCCAAGAACAGTAGTGAACTCAATGAGATGATATACATTGATATAAACAGTATTAAAGTTTGGTGTGATTCTAATCGACTTGTTCTCAATATTTCAAGAACAAACTTATCAACCTTCCGATGCTCACTCAGAGGACATACTCCTTGGTTCAAATATCATTGAAAATAAACTCAACACAAAATTCCTAATATTGTTTAATGATACTAGGTTGAGATTTGAGGAATACATTCAGGCCTTGAGGAAAAAATATCTTCTGGGTGTTTTGCTGTCGAGATTGTCTCAAAGGAGTTGGGATTGGGTGCGGCTAGAATCGTTTATCATTCCCTAAATGAGTCTCATTTCAGGTATGGCATCCCATTCTGGGGTGCATGTAATGCTAACTTCAGGAGCAGTATTCTTGTTCTTCAAAAAAGATGGCTAAGATTTATGTGCAAAGCAAAAATTCGTGATTCCTGTAAGCCTTCATTCATTGAACATAAAATACTCACGATAATAGCAATTTTTATATAAGAAACCGTTTGTTTGATGAAGAAACATCTGAACACGTTTAACAAACTTCCTTCACACTATGTCACTCGACAAGCTATGAACGTAAGTCTGCCACTTCCTAAATCATAGCTTATTAAGGATTCTGTTATTTACAACGGCTGCAAGATGAACAATCATCTACCTAGTTATGTCGAAAACACTGCCAATTCGAACATTTTCAGAAAATCTGTGAAAATCTGTTACATAATTTACAGGAATTTTACTCTGACACATTTTAACACTTTTGTGATTTCCTATTCAATTGTTATCTGTTTTTATATATACAAATTCTGTTTGTTGTTGGCTTGTGCATTTAATATGTATTGCGGTTCGTTTTTTTACATTTAGTTCACATACGAACTGGTATGGAATTGACATTTACCATTTTAGTAGGTATTATACATAACATTTTCATTATTATTTGTTTTTTAATTATCGACCAGTATTAGACTTAGGTACCTTGATATATTTTTTTGAACTTGAGCAAACTTTGTCAACAAGAATTCAATTTCTAATGATAATAAAGTATATTCTCTCTCTCTATAATCAAATTCCTGTCAGCCCATATCCGCCAAAAACTGGAAGCCCGCCCTAAGTGAACTCAAGCAGAGCAAAATAATAATGGGTGATGCGGGCGGAGTGAAAGCTATTCTCTTCCCTATGAATTCTAAGCGGGAGTTTCAGCACGTTAAATGCATCGATGAAGAACATGTAGGTATCTCATTACGCAGCAACTATACATGAGCGATTGAAAGCATCATTGTCCAAATTCTGATGCATGGGTAGACAGAATTTCATTGAAGTGGATTCGAGTAATTTACATGTTTCTAATGGTAATTCATCACTTGATTGCTGAAGGAGATATTTTGCTGTATGTGACAACGAATAGTCTGGGAGCATTTCGGTTTTGATTTGATATGTAACGTTCTGGTTCCAGTATAGGTTTCAATGTCTGTTTGTATTCGAAATGGAAGGCAGATTTTACCAAAGTTCAATAGTTCACACAGAGCTGTTTAGTCATTATACGGTATGTTCAATTAACTCGGAATTTATTTCATTTTCAGGAATACATGTTATTTTTTTCGTTCTCTGTGACTCTGTATGGAACAGCCAATTCTGAAACGATTTGTAAACAGCTATATTTTTTCTTCTCCATCCTCATATCGAACTCTCATATTACTTTGTGATGAAGTGAGATTCGAATGATATACTAACGTTTTTATGACGGAGGATGTTTGGAGCATTGTGCTTTATTGTTGACATTGTGTGTCGAACATATAGGCTATTGAGGTTGTGAACTGATCACTAATATCTGTTCAAGTGTGTGATACATATCCAGAATATTATGTCTATGAAATTATTGGACAATTATTCGTACGACATTCAGAGAGTGTCTACTTCATTGTTTCACATTGTTGCAAGGAGAGGTTAGATTTTCAGTCTCACCAGTTGGCAAAAAATCATAACAACTGTATAGGAATTCTTAGGTTCTCATCTTCACATCTATGGATTCGTTAGTGGAAAGGTCATGAAGCATCGGGGATATCATGAGATTATTTCAGATGTATTATTAGGATATGTACATTTCAGCAAGAAATATATACTTACAGTTCCACTGAGTTCAGCTGAACCAACTGCGGAGACACTACTAGGGGCTGCTTCCACTATGATTATTATCGATGAAATGATAATTGTTGCGACGAACATATTGGATAATCTGTAACAAATTGAGGATATTTGAGACAATTATAGCGATATAAAACTATATATGGATATGAGGTATCATATCTGTTACATTTTTTATGAGTTAATATGCGTGATCATTAGGGATATCAACAAATGTGGAAGGAAACTCTCAAAGAGTTGACCAAGCTTTCTGAGATTTTCATTTACATCATCAGAAGAAGCCCGTTATTGACATTTTCAAAGAACATTATTGTGGCCGGCACACATGGAGCAATTTCAATTACACGTGAACAAATCAATAGTGAAATTTCAGGCTATTCAATGTTTGTTCATTCATAAATTTCGTCAGCCATCTGTCACTTCGTCCTTTCACAATTTGGCGATTCTCGGATTGTTGAAATGAACCACTTCTCTGCAAATTATTATTCATCATCTCGTACAAGTTGGGTATCCTTCGTACTGAAAAATAGTTAGAGGCCAACCAATTCCCGGACAAGGTAACAAAAACCTGTCCAATCACAATGTAGGCCTTCTGCCCTGTTATCAGTTAACTCGAAAGTGATGGAGAAAACCATCAGTATATTGAGCTCATCAAATATTTGGGAAGCTCAGGAATCATCAATGGTATAGACAATGGGGCCCTTACTGTCGAATATCAACTAGAGATGCTTTTTTTTATCGCTTGGAGCGCACGAAAGGAAATCCATGTAATGTTCAAAGAACATCGTGCCTTCCTGAGGAGGATAGGAATAGGAGGTAGGTATTGGAATTTTTTTTGAACTTCTGGAGATTATATGTTGTTGGAAATACTTCCTCAGGCAATGAATTCCAGAGCCTATATAGCCGTTCTATGGATGAAGGAGTCTTGATAAAGTGCTGTTCGACATCTTTCGAGGTTGACAACGAAAGGATGTGCTGACTGGGCTTGTCTAGTTCGTCTGATTGGTATTGCTAGTGAAGGGATGATAGCAGAGATTTCCGAAGAACATTTCCCGTGGAAGTATCGGTAGGAAAGTGAAAGGTCGCCGACCTTTCTACGGTGTCAAAGAGTGAGTGAGTGTCGCGTCACCCACCTTCTCTGGATGGAATCTAAGAGCATCAGCGTATGTTTTGGTGCTGAACCCCATATGTGGGAACAGTATTCAAGAACAGGCCGTATCTGCGCTTTGTAGATCATGAGAGGCTGTTGAGGTGTAAAGTAGCTTCTCGCACGGAACAAGAATCCGAGTTTTTGTGAAGCAGCTTTCGCGATGGATCTGACATGATTATCAGAATAGCATTGTGCCGACCGTGTTTGGCAACGAGGGCTTCTCCACATACTACAATCATACGGCTTACCATAAGCTATGCCACTCTCATGGAGTTTTGTTTCAGGTAGGTTTCTCCATGTGGTGTATCGTCTCATACTATAGTCATCGATCATGGATATCGAAAACTCACTCACTTGATATCAATGAACTGTTTGAAGAAGTATCCTGAATACGCAGCTTTGCAGATGACATTTCCCTCAATACTGCGTTATCTTCTTGAACTACCAATTTTTCTCAGGAAACTGAGAACGCTGTCATCTCAATTACACCCTGAGTAACCAACAAATTAGTTGAATTCAATGCTACCAAAACTCTAGCTTGTACTTGCTCTAGTACTGTGAGGGCTTGTCAAGACTAAAGTTCCTTACGCTGAGTGAGGAAAAACCAAGGGCCGAAACAGACACAGGAGATCTGGAAGCTATAGCCTATGGAGTCCCATAGAGAAGGCAAGACTAGCCAAAGAACTCAAAACAATTTTGAGGGCAGATACAATAAATCTGATAAGGTCGCGGTGTGGAGGCAGATAGCCCGAAGGCCCCACTCTAAATCCAATCTAATCTAATTCACTGGTAAGACGGAATTCAGTATGCCTGATATATCAATGACTGATGGTACCACCATTTTGACCAAGTTCACTATATGAATATGCCTGGTATTCCGATCAGCAATACTCTTTCATTGAAAAATCATATCAGTTCCATCGCGAAAGCCGCGCTTCGCAAAAACTCGGATCATCATTCTGTGCGAGAATTCCCTGAAACTTCAACATATGGAATCCACCCGAACATTGATGCTCTAAGATTTCATTCAGATACGATCCATTTTGCTGGTGGGTGATGCCACACTCAATAATTATCTGACAACATTGAAACACCGTAAGGAGGTTGGCGACCCTTCACTTCCATAAATCAGCTTCTTATTGATATACCCTGATATCTCAGTTATTTATAATGCGATTTTCTTGAAATTTTGATGGAAATTGTATGAGTTAGTTCGCATTATGAGTTTGTTATAATTTTGAAGTAAGGTATTGTTGCTGAATCTTCGATAGTCCTGATGTTCACCCTCTTGAGAGATTTACTGCTATACGTACTCTGATGGTCTGGTATAGTCTTCTATGGTTATATAAAAATGGAGTATTCGTGCAATGTTGTGGGATACATAAAAGACCTTTATTCGGGAAATTGATATTGGGGCTTATATATTTTGAATAACTATTTATATCAGATTCAGAATCAGCATTCCCAAAAACTTCGACTCATATTTTCAAAATTTCTGGAAAAAGCAAACCTTGCTCTTCATGACTACGCCCTAGAATCTCAATTATTCATGATGCGATTTCCTTCAAATCGCTTCATTGATATCTGAGATTCTAGGGTGTAGTCATGAGAAGCAGAATTTTTTAATATTTTTCCTTGCTTTTGAGAACTCAAAAATTAACTAGGACGTGTTTGGGGATACTTAGTCAGAATCTGATAAAAGAGGTTATCTAAAATAAGCCCTTCATTGTGTAAGTGAACCTATTTTTTACCCCTCAGCATCGCTAATGCTGATTGAAACTGTTCACTCTGCTGAATAATTCATTGTTTCAACATACAATCATCACCAAAATGTCTAGATAATCGCATCATCATTAACTTATATATTAAGGTCATAGATTAACGACTTCTCCTTAAGGTGTAAAGCGGGACACACTGTAGATACTTTCACGAGAAATTTTTCTTCAGGAATCTCTGCTCCAGGAAAGTAGTTGCTAGTTAGTTAGGTTTGTTGAATGAACCGAAGGAGAATTCTCATTTTAATCACATAGATATTGAGTATTATCTCGGTATTATCAATAAATTTCTTCGGGTATGCAAGCAACCATGTTTCCATGTTCATAATATACATAATATATTTCATTCTTGGAAATATCAGTGGGATGCAGTCTGGACCAATGAATTAATTAGATTTCTTCGTTATTTGTCGAGCTTTCGAAAATTTTTATTTTCTTTATCAAGACTAACTGAAAACATCGAATGAAACAATAATATTAGAATATAAATGTACATCAAATGAAATTGGTATACTTACAAACATGAAATTCTATATAAAATTAGCACAAAAAGGAAACATAGGTGTATAAATAAAAATGAAATGATTTGACAAAAAAATGTCATAGATGATGGTTGACTCATTTGAAGATGTTGAATACAGATTGAGATGAATACTGATATATATGAAAATACTGATATATAAAAAATGTTTGTAGATTATATATAAAACATGAATCATTCAAGGAGGAATATATATATAATATAGATTTCCATGTTTGTAAGTATACCAATTTCATTTGATGTACATTTATATTCTAATATTATTGTTCCATTCGATGTTTTCAGTTAGTCTTGATAAAGAAAAAAAAATTTTTCGGAAGCTCGACAAATAACGAAGAAATCTAATTAATTCATTGGTCCAGACTGCATCCCACTAATATTTCCAAGAATATTATTATAGAACAGTCACGAAAGCTTCACCTTGTTTAATATATTTTGGGGATATTCTTGCTTTTCAGAACATCCAAGAGAATACGCACGGTTTGAGAATGGTGTTTTGTTTACTGTTCATAAGTAGTATGAATTTATCATACCTTCCCATGGTAATGGTGAGCATCACAAAAATTCTGCTAATTCGACTCGGTTAATAATATTGTCAAAGGTTACTCGATGCCAATTAAAAGAAAAAAAAACTATATTTTCAAGAACGAAGTCTAACAGACATCGACCAGTCACTGAGTAAAAAGTATCATTAAAATAATTCTAACATAATTATTCCTATGAACTATAATATAAAAAATGATAATGATACGACTTGTTTTTTACTTGATTTCATACGTAGATGGACTTCCCGAAACCAACCCAATACCAAGTCTGCACAAACATTGATATACGAACACCAAAGATATCAATAAATGAAATAACGATAATAATAATGGTTTATACCACCTTCAACAAAATAATATGAAATCCACTTTTATTTGAAATAAAATGATGAGTTCACGGCGGATCATAACTGTACAATGAAATACTATTTATTGTGTAGGAATATATATACAACAGCTTCAATAATGACTAGAATGATCGTTATTTCCTGTCTCTTGTTCAATTCAAGGTTCAGTATGTCATTCACTTGGAAATGAATTAATTACAATATTGAGTCACCAGGCCGAGAATCGTAGTTTTATTTGATTGTTTAACGTATTTGCACCTTTTTCGTATATATAAACTTTTCTACTGAGGCACTGAGGCTATATAATTATGTTTCCAAACAGTCGATATATTCATGAAATATCATAAACAATAATAATTATTATTGCAGGAGACAACGATTCCAATAAAATTATAAATGAGAGGTATACACGTTACAAGAACAACGAGTGAAAAAATATAATAAACAATGGATTGATACTTTTCAATTATAAACTATTGTATTCAACTCATGCAGTCTTTATTGCGACTAGATTGTTTTCTCTCAGTGATTCCAATGATGGAGAAGGAGGAAACACAATGAGAATGATTGAATTATTGGCATAATGGCAAATGTAAGAAAATCGAAATGTATTACTAAGATCGCTTGGACAGCAATATGTGGTAAACATACCAGATGTAGAAAGATTGAGACGCATATTTATTTCTCCTTGAAATTTGGAAAATGCTGATTGAAGTTTGAAACAACATAAAGA